ATCTCTTGACCTCGTGATCCACCCACCTCGGCCTCCCAAAGTGCTGGGATTACAGGCTTGAGCCACCGCGCCCAGCAGTGCACTCTTAAAATGTAACCTGAGAGACTGGTTCAGGCCATGACAGGAAGGGGGAGTGGGACTTACCTCATTATACTCTCCAGTGTTAACATCAACACAGACCTTAAATCTGATAAGAAATATTTACAAGCAATTCTCTCTGAAGAAGCCTGCTACAGGCTTCATCTGCATAATAAGAAATTTGCTCTCCATAATCGCTTATCTTAATCCAGATAGTTCTTTTCTATTGATCCCAGATCTTTAGATAAATTTAACCAATCACCAATCAGAAAAGTTTTAATGAAATGGTCTTTAATTTTAAATCTACCTATAACCTGGAAGCCCCTAACCTTGAGTCATTCTGTCTGAACCAATGTATTTCTCAAACATATCTGATTGAAGTCTCATGTCTCCCTAAGATGTATAAAACCAAGCTACACCCTGACCACCTTGGACACATGTTCTCAGGACCTCCCATGGGCTGTGTCAAGGGCCAAGGTCACTTATATTTGGTTCAGAATAAATCTTTTCAAGTATTTCACAGAGTTTTACTCTTTTCTTTGACAAGATATAAATAAACAGTATTATTCTCCTGCTTAATAACTTAACTGCATTGTATTGTCTTTATAATTAAATTCAAATTCACAGTTTCCAAATCCTGCCTGATCCCTAACCACTCTATCACCTCAATTTCCAACATAATGAATTTCTTTCTTTTCATCCCATGTGCTATACTCTCTCTGCCTTTCACCTCTAGGTCTTCGCACATGGTATGGTTGATCCAGAACATTCCCCTTCTCTATCTCTCCATGCCTTTCTGGACAACTCTTATATCTACTTAATGCCTTGGCTTAGATATCTGCTCTTCCAGGTGAAATGTATTTGGCATGTGTCTACATAGGACTCTGCATATCCCCTTAAAATACTTCTTTCTTACTGCTTACTTTGTTACTTGTTTTCCCCACAGACTGTTATCAACAAGAGGGTAGGGATGTGTGTCTGTTTTATTCGCTGGTGTGTCCATAGTATCAAGCATAGTACCTGGCCCATACAAGGCACTCAGTATTTGTTGAGAGAATGCAATAAACTTTACTAGGTTTGCATGGAGAAATATGCTCAAAGCCTATATTAATAAATGAAACTTTAAAAGAACCACTACCACATGGTAGAAATACAAAGAAATATAAAGGTATGAAAGTTACTTATTTGCTGACCCCCCCAAAAAATTAATTTGATTAGTTGAGTGTTTTTTGAGCACTGTATCAAGTCACTGTTTCTCATAAATATGCTCTTCCAGCACAAGAAAATGAAGATAAACTTATTTCACTAACTGCTTATTTGTAACTTATTCCCTTCTTGTTCTTGGGAGTTTTGAGTTTGATGAGTAGCTGTTATTTTAGAACAAGACTGACCTATTACATAAAAGATGCCAATCAGATTATTATCTCCCATTCCCAATCCCCCCAAGAGGACAAGTGAGGGTTTGAAGAAGCTATAATGGCATGCCAACACTTATAATTACCTATTCAGTGGCCTAGCATTGACAACTTGATAGTCCACTTTATAGAAAGCAATCTTATAACTAGCTCAGCAATCAGGAGCCAAGAAAAAGTGTCAACCTCATCGGCCACTTCAATGTGAGAAAATAATCTGCTATGAATAAATTGTTTTTTTTTTATTATTATTTGAGATGAAGTTTCGCTCTTGTTGCCCAGACTGGAGTGCAATCGCTCGGCCTTGGCTCACTGCAACACCTGCCTCCCGGGTTCAAGGAATTCTCCTGCCTTTGCCTCCCAAGTAGCTGAGATTATAGGCATGGGCCACCATGCCTGGTTAATTTTTGTGTTTTCAGGAGAGACAGGGTTTTACCATGTTGGTCGGGCGGGTCTCAAACTCCTGACCTCAGGTGATCCACTCACCTTGGCCTCCCAAAGTGCTGGGATTAAAGGCATTACCTACCATGCCCAGCCCTCTCCCAAATTTGTAAGTTGAAATGAAGGGTTGAGTTTTTAAATAAATTCCTGATTTGAGGGGGTGGGCATCGCCAGTTTGATGGTATCTGGAGATGGGGTCTTTGGGAAATACTTAGGTGTAGAAGAGATCATGAAAATAGAACCCTCATGATGGAACTAGTTCTCATAAGAAAAGACACAAACAGCTTGCTCTCCCCAATATATAAGGACACACTGAGAAGGCGTCTGTCTACAAGTCAGGAAGACAGCCCTCACCAGAAATTGATCATGCTAGTTTGTACTTCTAGACTCTAGAACTGTGGAAAATAAACTTCTGTTGTTTAAGCCATCTATTCTATAGTATTTTGTTATGGCATCCCAAGTCATTATAGAATCATACTTACAGTTGGAGATTCCACACACTGGTTCCAATTCCAGTTGGACTCAATAGTATTTTATTTAAGTTAAATTACACTACTGCTGATTTTGGAGGGTTTTTTTAAAGTGCTACCTTCCAGAAAATTTTAGAAAATGTAAAAATAAAAAGGAAGCATGAAACCATAAACAGGCCTACTGAAATGCATCACATCAAGCCAGTAAAAATAGAATAAAGGATACTTACCACCACCAAGAATGTAAGAATCCTGGTGGTTCCCCCAATGTGATGTTTTTTTCCCATCTTATCTAAAATGAATAAAAGAGATATTAAATACTTTCCTAATAATACTTTTTTCCACACATATACAAAGTAATAATACTCCCATTTAAAATACTATGGTAAAAATATTTGAATTTTTCATCAATATCATAGTATTCTTTACCCAAGTTTTACAAGTACTCATTTTACATCGTAATTTGTTGACTGGATTAGTCTGAGAGAGATGTCACCATTATTTTCCTGAATTTGCTTCATACTGTGACAGTTATTAAGCTCTAGTCTTTCAGTTTCAAATCCATCTTTCTGTGGTCTTTCAGATGCTGAAACTGGGGATTCATATACTACCTTTGTCCTTCATTAAATCGCTTCCTGTTAGGTCCCATAAACTAAGAGAGGCTCTAGAAGGAGACTGGAAGTAAGAGGGGAGAATGGATTTGCTTCCTGTTAGCTTACTATTCCTGTCGGGGTGACCCCAGCAAGCAGTTTATTCAGCGATAATAGCTGTGACAATAGCTGGTTCCATTCTAGCTTTATCCCACACAACTAGAACTAGTCCCTTCGTGCCCCTCAGAAGTCCCTTCGTGTCCCAGCACAGCTGTGCAGTACCTCTCTTCAGAGGTTAAAGGCAAATGTGAGCTCTTCCAGTAACAGCAGTCCCACAGCACCCTCTCCTTAGAGGTCTAAGATTCAGCTCTCTGAGGTTCCTCCTCCAATATTTTTGACAACCACAAGCTCAAGCTCTTTTGGTGCCTCAGCCCTAGTGATTGCTCACTGCATTTACTGATTTTATGTGTGCTGTTGTTGCTTTCTTTCAAACCTGTTTAGCTATTTCCCCATATTACATTCCCTGTTGAAATAGCGTGCTTTCAATCAGTGTGGCTGTATTCTGATTGATACAGCATTTCAAATGCCTTCTCACAAGGTAAAAATATTAAAAATATCTCCATTTTAAGAAGAATGGGATATGGGCATAAACTTTAACTTTGCTACATACTAGCTGTGTGAAGTTGGGAAAGTTTCTTAAGTCTTCTGTGCCTCAGTTTCCTCAACTACAAAACGGGGTTAATTATAGTCACCTCTCTCACAAAGTTGTTATGAGGAATAAACTGGTTAGTACATGAAAATCACTTGAAAGAGTAACTGATGGGCCAGTCATGGTGGCTCACACCTGTAATCCCAGCTACTCTGGAAACTGAGACAGAAGAATCACTTGAACCTGGGAGGTGGAGGTTGCAGTGAGCCGAGATCATGCCACTGCTCTCCAGCCTGACATAGCAAGACTCCATCTTGGAAAAAAAAGAGTAACTGATCTGTAGTAAGTGCCTCGTAGCTGTTAGGTGCTATATTTTTTTTCCTTTACCTAGGAGGCTATCCCTGTAAAAATTTATTACATCATCATTGTCACTGGAACTCACAAAATTCCAGTGATATTCCATATAAAAATATTCAAAGTATTTAGGGTTGTGCCAAATTTTAACTTACTAATCAGGATAGTTTTCATCTTGCTGGAAACCATACATGTAACTAGGCAAAAAAAAAAAAAAAAATCAGAGTTGGAACTAAGGAACAATTGTCTATGCTTCTAGCATAAATTGAAAAAAGTAAAAATGAATCATTTAAACAGAAAATTAAGCTTCTATTTATTTTAAATCATTTCAGAATTAAGTGTCCTGTCACACTGAGTTATCATGGATACTAAATTCAGCTGACCACTAGAGTCTCATTTTAAAGGTAACTCAATTTTTGAGGTTTTTTCTTTTCTTTCTTGCTGTTTCTTTTATTGAATCAGAAGGTATCTCAGGATCTTAAGGCACATCAAAACCACCATTACTACCATAATATGAACACATCCTTTATCAACACTGACCCAGAAACTTTTAAGAGATTAGGCTTAATATGCTGACTTCAAATTATACCTTAAGGATTAGGTTTTAAATAAATTCTTGATTTGAAGGGGTGGGCATAAGAAGACATAAGTCTTTCATAAAATGAGAGTTTTTAAAAGATGCTGATATTAACTTTCTAATTGTTTACATTTCTGCTGAGTTGGAGTTTACTATAATAAAAATTTAAAACAAGATCAGTATCTCTAAAAAAGTAAAAGATCTAACTAAATACTTTTGGATGAGTGTCTGGATGAGTATTCATACTTTTTAAAGCACTGCATAGCAGTAAACACAAAAGACAGAAATCCCTTCCTTCAGGGAGATTTCACCTTAGTGTAATCTCCCTGAAGATAGACCATGAACAAAGAAACAAACAAAAAAGTAAATTGTGTTTATATGAGAAGGTGACAAATGCAGCGAAGGAAAACTAAGCAGAGAAGGGGAATAGAAAGAGCAGGAAAACAGTGCAGTGGATTTACAATTTTAAATAAGGAGATCCAGAAAGACCTCAAAAAAAAAAAAAACTATGTTTAAGTATATGCCTTAGTTTTTTAGTTTAAATAACAAAATTATGTAACAGTACCCCAATCAGTAAAATATGCCCAGTACCCTTAACACTACTAAGAAGTGAACAACTGTAATTATAGATTTCAAAAAAATTCAAAGAATTCTTTCCATCATCTACTATGTAAGAAGTTAGGAATTCTTATCCCAAAAGGACTTTTTAAAAGTTTTAAAACAGGAACTCAGAAAGTGATACTAAATGTAGAAATAACCAAAATTCCTCTTTAATGAAAAGATAAAAAACATTAAGTGCCATTAAAATCACCGAAATTAGTTGCATTTTAGAGTTCTCAAGCATAAATATATGGGAACCCTGAAGTAAAACAAGTAATTTGTTCTCATAATATAAATTTTCTGAAGATTAGAAATCTGGCCAGGCATAGTGGCTCACACCTGTAATCCCAGCGCTCTGGGAGGCAAAGGCAGGCGGATGACTTGAGGTCAGGAGTTCAAGACCAGCCTGGCCAACATGGTGAAACCTCATCTCTACTGAAAATACAAAAATTAGCCAGGCATGGTGGCATGTACCTGTAATCCTAGCTACTCAGGAGGCTGAGGCAGAAGAATCACTCAACCCCGGGAGGCAGAGATTGCAGTGAGCCGAGATCACACCACTGCACTCCAGCCTGAGCGACAAAGTGAGACTCCATCTCAAAACAAAAAAAAAAGAAAGAAAGAAATGTAACAGCCATTTTTAAGAGCTAAAAGGAAAAATTCCAGGAAATAATCAACTTGAAGTTAGAAAAACTACATATGAACAATAAAACAGAACACATCATATAAATGTAAGCCGAATCCTAATTTTAATTATCCTAAGTGGTAAAACAAATAATGTGTATATCTATGCCACCTTCTATCTGACAATTTCAGTTCATCAACATTTTATTTTAGTTTGTAAAAAATAAGAAATAGTATTTAATGAGACTTATGAGAAGCAAAACTCTGATGTCCTGCTAAAATTACAATTTAGTCAAAAACCTATGTCTCATCCTTCTCTCAATCTTTTCTCTTACCACTTTTTCACTAGTTGGTATCCTCTTGAAAGAACATAAGAATAAAACCTCACCAGTGTACCCAGATACACTAATATTCCTAATCACTGGAACCATGCTAATCATATGACCCGCAAATTTTTCAAAGTATTGTCCTTATGTTTCATCTCAGTTCATCTTGACTTTACATAATATGACTGAAATAAAGCAGATTTTACTATACTCAGTTAAAAGAAGAATCTGACATAACTTATGGAATAAAGTGGCCTAACTGGGTTTCAATGCTAGGATGTGCTGGAGGTAGGATTAATTAGATTCCCAGCCTATGAGACCCACTTCACCTCACCCTTTCTAAGCAGCCTCCCCTCACGCACTTCCACAACTTCCCAGCCAATCTCCAGCTATCTCGAGAGATAAAATACTACAGGAAACTAACTATATGGCTTATATTTGATATGATCTTTTATGAGAAGAAGGCTGAGGTAATGCATTTATATTTTAAACAGTTTTACATCTTATTATTCCTCAAAGAAACTAAAAAAGCATCACATATATCATCATTTTATCCTCACAACACTTTTTACTACATAGTATCCATCTTTCTCTCCTTAATTTGCAAGTCTGTGCCAGAAGCAGGTAAAACTTCAGTCCATCATACTGAAGTTAACATAAAATCCACCCTTTTAAAGTTACTGAATGAACCACACTTAAAGCTATGTTTTAGGTATGTCTATGTTTAGAAGAGATGGCCTATGTTTACATAGCGAATATTGCTAAGTCCAAATGGATCACTATTCTAGATATTACTTGTTTATTAAAAGCATCAAATGGTACTCAAGAAGAGCCAAAATAGAATCCTTGTAGAAAACTAAACCACGTTCATTGTAGCATTGTTAGAAAGAAATGAAAATTAGAAACAACCTGAGAAACGCTAGTAGTGATTATAAAATAAATCTTGATACATACTACAGAACAGTGTGTTATCATTAAAAATAATGAAATATAGCTACTTGGAAAGAGAACCAAGCTCTACTAGTTTTTCAAGACGGAAATTTGTAAGGTTGGAGAACATTATGTATAACATAAAACCTTTCTGCTTGGAAAAAAAACTATGCATACATACATATGTGTGCTTGTAGGCATGTGTGTGTGTGTTTTTTTTTTTTAATCACATCAAATGATTTTAAAATCACTATTATCTGGAAAACGGAAAAAGAGGACTTTCATTTTAAATTATATTCTATGTAGTTTAATTTCGTTTTTTAGCAAATATAAATTAATGATGGATAGTGTTGTGGAATGGCCAGAAAACAGTCCTAAATGTCAGTAGTCATGTTAAAAACAAATTTTCTTCTGTTTCTGAAGAGGTATTTTCTGTTGTATTGAGTTTCTTGGGCTTCAGGCTTACTTAGGTTTTGGGTGGCATCTTTGGAACATTTTCTCTTTATTCCGTTTTTTTCTTCTTCAGTTATGCCAGAATCAATGTGTATCTCCCTAGTCCTAAGGCTTTTTTCTGCTTAATTATCTACCTTGCTTCCTTCTGTCATTTGACCAGCTAGGTGCTATATTCCTATATTCTCCTGT